ACTTACGTTGGGCCTGTTGCCTCCTGGGCCGATGGGGTTCATCATCGTGTAGATGTTTTCACTGGAGTTTGTGGAGTCTGGGGAGACAGGAGGGGGGAGGGGGTGAGAGGATTCTGGGAGATTTCCACGGGCTCCCAGGGCCCCCTGCTCCTGCTGTGCGCGTGTGTGTCTGTGTGGTGGTGGTGGGGGGGGTTACCAAGGCAGCAAGACAATGACAACAGGAGGAAAATATATTTGTTAAGATAAAAAAAAGGCAGTGGACAAAATGTGCTTTCCTTCCATGAACACAGAGCTGACCACCGACTGCTCTCCCCTACACTGACCACTCTAACCCACACGGAGCGACTCTCACAGAGCTGATGGACTGTAGTCCTCTACAATGACCACCTCTCTCTTGTAGAGCTGAGCACTGTCCTCAACACTGACTGACTCACTCTCAGAGCTGACCAACAATAGTCTTATCCTCTGACCACATCTCTCATACAGCTGACCACTGTCCTCTACAGTGACTCACTCCCGGAGATGACCAGCTGTTGTCTTATCCATTGACCACACTTCTCACAGAGCTGACGACAATTCTACAGCAATATTGCTTCTTCCAGTAATGCTGAGAACATGTGGGAAGGGGTCTGTTCTCATCCCTTAGTGTAACAGAAAAGCCCACCAGAACTATTCAAAAATAATCACCACTAATGATAACCATTTATTTTAATACACGTTCATTTTTAAAATAACAATAGTTGAAAAGTCTGTTTAAAAAAATCACTTCTAAAATCTGCATTTAATATTACAGGTTGAAATAATAAAAACCGAGCATCTTTTCTTAATGTTTTTGTCAATAAGATTTCAAAAAACAGGAATTTAGTGCAACAGGAACTGAAGTTGAGAGTAAGAGTTGTGCAAGGACAAATTAAGGGGACGCACCTCCTGGGCTAGGCATGATGGGTGTTCCTGGTGGACCTCCGCCCCCTGGTGGACCCTGATAGAGAAAAAAAGGGGGTGGGCAAACTTAAGAGAAATCTAGTACATTTTTGCATCCCTCAAAACCCAGAAAGATGACTTTCAGAAGTTAGGCCACTTTTGGTAATAAGCCTGGTGTCCAATACAGTTCCTACTTACCACATAGTTTCCTGGAGAGGATGAGGAGTATGCTATCTGTGGGGAGACAGAAGGCAGACATGTGACAAGTGGGAAAGGCAGAAAAGTCAACACGGTGAAAACAAAAGGAAATTTTAAAGCTGATGGACTTGGGAATGGATACGCTGGCACACGCCAAGCAGGAAGTGATGCGCAGGAAACTTGCCGGGCACTAGAATCTCCCAGAACACTAAACAGAACCCTTAAAGATCAAGGACATAGCTGTCCCCTTTCTCCCCCAGCTATCCAGAAAGCATTTATATTGTACCAACAATATACCACTTCCTTTAACATCTTTAAATGGTTTATTTTCCCTGAAAGCAACCGAAGTTCTGATCCAGAGCAGGTGGACGTACCGAATTTGCGTTTGGATTTGGCCAGGGACCTCTGCCTCCGGGACCCCTGAGGAAAGAGAGGAAGAGACAGTGAGCGACCATCCCC